AAGGACGGACACCTCAATACGTCACGCTACCCCTACTCTACCGTGAGCCTAGGGATAATTTCACAATGCTGCATTTCTCTAGCTTCCACCGTAAGCACATTAAAACAGCCATCCCCTACAGACGAACCTTACGCATACACAGGATCTGTTCAGATGATAAGCAATGGGACAGACAAGATGCTGAAGGACACCCTCATAAGAATGGGATATGATGCTCAACTCATTGATCACCAGTTCCCATGTGCCACAGTGAAAGACCTCAGCAGATCGACACGGGTCATGACCGATAGGATACCGTTGGCCGTCCAGTACTTCCCTGGAGTGGAGAAACTACGCCATGTTCTTCACAGCCTTCACAAATATTATCAATGACGATGAGCACCTCACCAACACCTTCCCCACGCCTCCACTTCTCACCTTCAAACAACCACCCAACCTTAAACAGACCATTGTTCGCAGCAAACTACACAGCCTTCAGAACAGTATCTATCACAACACAGAACAACCCTGTCATGGCAACCTCTGCAAGACATGTCAGATCTTTGACATGGACACTACCATCACACGTGGAAACACCACCCACCACGTGTAAGGCAGATACTCATGTGACTCGGCCAACGTTGTCTATCTCATACGCTGCAGGCAAGGATGGCCCCAGGCAGGGTATATTGGCGAGACCATGCAGATGCTACGACAACAGATGAATGAACACCACACTACAATTGCCAGACAGTGATGTTCCCTCCCAGTGGGGGAACAATTCAAGGGTCAAGGACATTCAGCCTTGGATCTTCAGGTAAACAAAGTGGACTTCTTTTTACACAACAATGCAGAGTTGCGTAGCAGAGGCTGATAGCCACGTTCTGTATGCATGAGAGCAGCCTCAACTGGGATCTTGGGTTCATGTTGCACTACAGGTGATTCCACCACACTATACACTCTCACACACACACTCACACACTCACACACTCACACAGACCCTCTCTCACACACACACTCTGTCTCACAAACACTCACACACTCTTTCTCTCAAGCACACGTACATGCACACATACACACATACTCTGTCTCTGTCACACACACACACACACACACACACACACTCTCTCGCTCTCTGTCTCCCTCACACACACATACACACAGACACACAATCTCTCTCCCTCACACACATGCACGCACATATAAGTCTATGGGGTGAATTTGCATTTATACATTTGTAATTGCAGATACATTCTATTTTGTTTAAAAAGCACAGAATTTGTAGACAATCCATATGGCATTTTGTAAATTCCTACTTTGGAAATAAAACCAGTCTGACTCAACGTTAATACACAGCCAGATTCTGAAAAAGGACTCACACCTAAAATGCATTGTCTGACCTGGGATATCACCTCGGGTATACTAATAAAACCTTTAGTTATCTTGGGGCAGTGACTTGAAAGAAATTCTGCGATTTGCATATTAATTCTTTCTAACTGAGTGAGGAATTAACAGCCATCTTAGGTTTGTTCAACACATTTGCATTAATTTTATGGCTCTTTGATCTTTTGCTCATAAATTCTGTGTCTGATGCCACCTTTCTCACTGACACCTGAAGAAGGAGTGAGACTCTGAGAGCTTATGTCTTCAAATAAACCTGTTGGACTATAACCTAGTGACATGTGATTTTTTGACCTGGTATCTGTGTAGGCTGTGCTGTGTAGTCCGAGGTGTAAAAGTTAGTTTCAGTCTAGAGTGTTAGGTTTGGTTGATTGTTCTCTTGGAGCGGACGTGTAAATTGGAATTCCAGGCTGAACAATGGTTCCAAGCAGCCATCTCTGTGTTTGTGTAATTTTTCCAGAGCTCAGCCCAGCTGTCCCCTTTACTTTTAGAAGTTTTGAAAAATCCAGGGTCCTGTCCAGCATTTTAGATTTTGGGGATTTTTGCTCAATCATCAAGCAGCAGCTGCCCAACATGTGACAAGAGTCTACAAATCATACATTGAACCTGTCAGCATCACAAAACCCAACGAGCTGGGATGAATGTGATCTCCCGGGAATCCAATGGACTGCCAATGGACAAAGAAGAAAAAGAATGGATAAGTTCTTGAAATAGAGCTGTTTTAGTGTCTTTGCTGCCTTTTAGCATCAGGTTTGGTTGCATAAGTCAAGACATGATGTAGCCAAATCTCAAAAGCTAAATATATTTGAAAATATTTTTTGCAACATTTCAATAGGTGTCTAAAACAATTGCACTACATGCCCTGAATGCCAATAGAGGAGGCAAATCTAATGTCAGGCAGAACACGTTGACGTAGAATAAGTATTGTGCAGACTTGCACTTTGGATACTTTAGTGCCTGTTTAATGCCTGGAAAACAGGTATGTACCCTGTATAATGAAATGATGTTGTGGCGTGATATTTATGCACCACCATTTGTGTTTTGAACAAACTATTGCAGTAAATTCCAGGACACTGACAATACCAATTTAGAACAGCTGAAATTGGGAAATTTCTGAAGAAAATAAACTCTGGCATTAAAAATAAGCTGAATGATCACATCTGGTCTACCAGCAGGAGGCATCTGCAGCATTGGAACACAATGCCATTCACAGATTTGTTCCAGGAACTGATTAACTGAACTTAATAACTGAAGGTTTATGAAAGGTTAACCCATTCCTGTTTAATACATTGCATCCGGACAACTGCGACTAAATTGGTCCTCCTGTTGCTCATACAAATCGTTGTTAAAATAAAATTGTATAGTTCTAAGTTCTTCAGGGGAATTTGTCTTTGTGATTTAAGCTGGTCAGAGATTGTTTCTCTTGAATTTATAGTATCCCTGAAGGCCCAGGACTGCTCAGGACATCTGAATTGAGGGTCCACCACATTGTTGGGGTCAAGGAATGTGAGCTTAACTCTGCAGCTAACTGTGAGCAAAGGATCTTCTTGAACCTGAGGCTGACACCAGGTGCAGTACCTTTTGCTGTCAGAGGTTGCAAACCTGGAGGTGGAAAGAACAATTAATTAGATGGGTTGTGACTGACCCAATTTCCTACTGCTTTCCCACCTACACCAGAATTACGTTCTAGATGGGAAGACCATGGTTGAACTCCCAGCCCCATTGCCAACTGAAGTTCTTAAGTGTTCAATTAAGGAATATACTGCAGGGTATAAGAAAACACAGCAACAAATACAAGCAATGAAACATCTTAACATGCATCATAGAGAAATTGTAAAAGAAAATATGACTCTGAAACACAGATGATGAAATGCTTGCTCAAAGACGTATGTTTTAAGGAATGTAAAAAAGGAGAAAGTGAAGTGAAAAGTCAGAGAAGGATAGGGAGGGAATCCTAAACCTCAAGTCCCAGACAGTTGAAGACAAAGCCGCCAATGGTTGAGCAAGTAAACATGGGGATTCTCAAGAGGTCAGAAACACTGATGTATTGGAAAACTCAGAGAGATCAAGAACTGCAGATGCTGGAGTCAGAGATAATACAGTGTGGAGCTGGAGGAGCACAGCAGGACAGGCAGCATCAGAGGAGCAGGAAAGTTGACGTTTTGGGTTGGGACCCTTTTCTGAAGAAGGGTCCCGATACAAAATGTCAACTTTCCTGTTCCTCTGATGCTGCCTGGCCTGCTGTGTTCCTCCAGCTCCGTACTATGTTATTCCAAATTGGAAAACTGGTTGGTTAGGAGAGATTACAGTGGGAGATTACAGGAAGTGTGAGTTTATGGATATATTTGAAAAAAAAAGAGAATTTTGAAATATTTACATTGTTGATCAGGAATGAATTGAATTCAATAAATGGCAACTGTTTAACCACCGTCAATTGCTATAAAAACCACTTGTTTCATTAATGTCCTTTAAGGAAGAAAGTCTGTCATTCTTGTTTGGTTTGGCTTATGTGTGACTCCAGACCCACAGCAATGTGGTTAATTTTTAACTACCCCCTGAGCAATTAGAGATGAACAATAAATACTGGCCTAGCCAACAACTCTTACGTCCCATGAATGAATAACAAAAAAAAAAGGCTGTGGTGAATAGGACCTGGTTCAATTTAGACAGCAGAGTATTGGACGAACTCAGGTTTATTGAGCGTTGAATTTAAGAGATTGGCCAGGACTTTGTTAGAATTAACAACTCAAGAAGTAAGAAGACATGCATAAGGATTTCAGCAGAAGATGAGTTGAAGCAGGAATGGAGCTGAACAGTTATACAAGTGAAACAGTCAAAAATGTGTTCCTAATTATTGGGCAAATATTAATTATTCTTTCGTGAGATAGAGGTGTCACTGGCAAGGTCGACGTTTGTTGCTGATCCAAAATTTCCATTGAATGAGCCATTTCAGAGTAAGAGACAACCATATTGTTGTGGGATCGGAGTCACATGTGGAGTTACCACTTCTGGGTAAGGATGGCAGGTTTCCTAGTGAACCAGATGAGACCAGTTTTCAATTTCAGATTTCTATTAGTTCAGTTTAAATCCCACTGACTGCTGTGCTGGTCCAGTGACGTTACGGTTATAGTAAGATGTTCTAATGTGGCTTTGTCAGGTCTTTTTTCATGCTCAGGCTACACTTCAAGGTCAGTCTATGTATAATATCACCTCCCACAGATATCACTCAGAGGCTGACATAATATATTAAAGTCCTATTGATCTTCATCAGACAAAGCTCTCTGACCAAACCTTCCATTCAAAGCTCTTTCATTCGTGTGTGCCCTGCACCACATTGTTTTTAAAAGTAATGCAAATGGATAATTACAGCTCTGAGACTCATATATCCATCATTACTTTTAAAGGCAGGCAAAGTGAGGGCCAAAATGTTTAACTTTCACAATGACTAATCAATATTCTGGTCAAGGTGTTTATCCTCTGCTATAGGAACAATCATTTACTTGACCCAGAATGTGTATAATCTCCACATCTTCTTCTTGTTCCTCTTGTTCAATTTGCTGAATCTGTCATTGCACTGGAGATTATCTGTTTATTTTAAGAGGAGGTTTTAAATTGCATACCCCCTGTTGGGGCAATCTTGTCATCGTGCTTAACTTTCTTGTACCACACAACCAGCATTTCAAAACAGCAGCTCCCACACATCGCCAAATTTTGCTCAGATTTGTTTTTAGGCAAGATGGACATCAATGGTCTGGATAACCATGGGTTTAGGCTGAGCCTTGGGATTACATTGAGTCGCCTCTCAGTTATGTGCTCTTTGCTTGGCCTGTCTAACATGCTAGATCACTTCTTGACATTGCAAAGTAATGTCTGTTATGACCACTATCCAATCTTGTATAAGCTCAACATTCAATGTGCTGTAGCTGTATGACAATTTAAGTAATTCATTAATAATGGTGTCTACCTCTATTAGTCGTTAGCCTGCTGGTTGAAAAGGGTATGTTCGATTGTAAGATTCATATTGGAGCTAAAATAAGAATCTAATGTCACTAAAACTGGCTAAAAATCGGATGAGGTTTCTATCTACACTTTTACTGGGTTAGGAAGTCATCAATAATGTAGCCCACTGCCTTTAACAAAATATTCAACTGGAGCTGCTGCTGTTTTGACTGATTCTATATCTGTGGGAGTGTGTCTTTCACAGGTCCCATTTATGTGCCTGCATCAGCCCTACAATGGCATTATATGAAGGAAGTAGGAATTCCTTGGCTGGTGTGAACATGCTGCACATTGGAGTATAACCCACTTCACCTCCTTTCAGGTAAGCCATCAAATCACTATAATGGGAAAGTCTTTTAAGAAACAAAAACAGAAATTGCTGGAAAAGCTCAGCAGATCTGGCAGCATCTGTAGAGAGAAATCAGAGTCAAAGTTTTGGTTCTGATGACTCTTCTTCAGAACTTCCAAGGATTCTAAGGACTCTTTTTTACCTCACAGTTGTTCGATCATTGCTTGTAGTTCTTCAGGTTTGTCTGAGAAAAGCAAGGTCTAACTTGGACTGGTGTTTCTATCACTGCGCATCTTGCAGCATATTCTAACGTGAGTTCTTTGAGTCTTCGTACCGATGTCTCGGTTACCATTACATAATATTTAATAATACACCATACATGATGGTAAGGCTGCACAACAACATGCTCTGAGCTGAACAATGACTAGTCCAATTTTCACATGCAACATGAACATCTGTGTGTATTGCAAGTCTTCAAAGCCAACCTGGACACACAAATCGGTAAATCTGACAAAGTGACGAAAATCCTAAATGAGCATGTCTGTGTCAACATTTTTAGTAGAACACTAATACTTGACTACTGAGGTCACTGTGACATCATAGCTCAATGCAAATATTCACCTTCATATTGATAATTCTTTCATATTGATAATTCCTTATCTCCAAAATTTGCACTACACCACCATCTCCATATGTTGAAATGTTGTTGCAGGGCCAAATATGACACGAAGGCTGTAACAGTCTGGTTCAGCCTCAGCCTGTGTGAGAGTTAACAATATGATATGCACCCTTAGGGTATGAAGTGAATCTGCAGAGTATAATGTGACAGATCTGGGTAGAAAGTGAGATCATAAGACATAACAATTTGATTTGATTTGGTTTAATTTATTATTGTCACATGTACAAAGGTACAGTGAAAAGTATTGTTTTGCACGCTAACCTGACAAATCATACCTTACATAAGTACATCAGGGTAATAGAACAGAATGCAGAATATGGTGTTATAGTGACAAAGAAGGTGCAGAGAAAGATCGCTCTAATACAAGCGAGGTCTGTTCATCAGTCTGATAATAGAAGTGAAGAAACTGTTCTTGAAACTGTTGGTACATGTTTTCAAACATTTATGTCTTCTGTTTGATGCAAGAAAATGGAAGAGAGCATAACTAGGATGGGAGGGATCTCTGATCATGTTGGCTGCTTTCCAAAGGCATCAGGAAGTGTAGACAGAGTCAATGAAATGGAATCAGAGATAGTAGGAACTGCAGATGCTGGAGAATCCGAGACAACAAGGTGCAGGGCTGGATGAACACAGCAGGCCAAGCAGCATCATAGGAGCAGAAAGGCTGACGTTTCGGGCCTAGACCCTTCATCAGAAAAGGGGGAGGGGAAGGGGGTTCTGAAATAAATAGGGAGAGAGTGGGAGGCGGATAGAAGATGGGTAGAGGAGAGGATAGGTGGAGAGGAAACAAACAGGTCGAAGAGGTGGGGATGGAGCCAGTAAAGGTGAGTGTAGGTGGGGAGTTAGGGAGGGGATAGGTCAGTCCAGGGAGGACGGACAGGTCAAGGGGGCGGGATGAGGTTAGTCGGTAGGAGATGGGGGTGCGGCTTGAGGTGGGAGGAGGGGATAGGTGGGAGGAAGAACAGGTTAGGGAGGCGGGGACGAGCTGGACTGGTTTTGGGATGTGGTAGGGGGAGGGGAGATTTTGAAGCTTGTGAAATCCACATTGATACCATTGGGCTGCAGGGTTCCCAAGCGGAATATGAGTTGCTGTTCCTGCAACCTTCGGGTGGCATCGTTGTGGCACTGCAGGAGGCCCAGGATGGACATGTCGTCTGAGGAATGGGAGGGGGAGTTGAAATGGTTCGCGACTGGGAGGTGCAGTTGTTTATTGCGAACCGAGCGTAGGTGTTCTGCAAAGCGGTCCCCGAGCCTCCGCTTGGTTTCCCCGATGTAGAGGAAGCCACACCGGGTACAGCGGATGCAGTATACCACATTAGCAGATGTGCAGGTGAACATCTGCTTGATGTGGAAAGTCTTCTTGGGGCCTGGGATGGGGGTGAGGGAGGAGGTATGGGGGCAGGTGTAGCACTTCCTGCGGTTGCAGGGAAAAGTGCCGGGTGTGGTGGGGCTGGAGGGGAGTGTGGAGCGGACAAGGGAGTCATGGAGAGAGTGGTCCCTCTGGAAAGCAGATAAGGGTGGGGAGGGAAAGATGTCTTTGGTGGTGGGGTCGGATTGCAGATGGCGGAAGTGTCGGAGGATGATGCGTTGGATCCGGAGGTCGGTGGGGTGGTACGTGAGGACGAGGGGGATTCTTTTTAGGTTCTTATTGCGTGGACGGGGTGTGAGGGATGAGTTGCGGGAGATGTGGGAGACACGGTTGAGGGCGTTCTCGACCACTGAGGGGGGGAAATTACGGTCCTTGAAAAACGAGGACAATTGAGATGTACGGGAGTGGAATGCCTCATCCTGGGAGCAGATGCGGTGGAGGCAAAGGAATTGGGAATAGGGGATAGCATTTTTGCAGAAAGGTGGGTGGGAGGAGGAGTATTCTAGGTCGCTGTGGGAGTCGGTGGGCTTGAACTGAATATCGGTTTCTAGGTGGTTGCCCGATATGGAGACAGAGAGGTCCAGGAAGGGGAGAGAGGTGTTAGAGATGGTCCAGGTAAACTTAAGATTGGGGTGGAAGGTGTTGGTGAAGTGGATGAACTGTTTGAGCTCCTCGTGGGAGCACGAGGCGGCGCCGATACAGTCATCAATGTAACGGAGGAAGAGGTGGGGTTTAGGGCCGGTGTAGGTACGGAAAAGGGATTGTTCCACGTAACCTACAAAGAGGCAGGCGTAGCTTGGGCCCATGCGGGTACCCATGGCCACCCCCTTTGTCTGTAGGAAGTGGGAGGAATTGAAAGAGAAGTTGTTGAGGGTGAGGACGAGTTCGGCTAAGTGGATGAGCGTGTCAGTGGAGGGGGACTGGTCGGGCCTGCGGGACAGGAAGAAGCGGAGGGCCTTTGAGGCTGCTTTTCATGATGGACTGGGCTGTGTTCACAACTCTTTGTAACTTTTTGCAGTCTTGGGCAGAGCAGTTGCTATACCAAGCTGTGATACATTTGGATGGAATAGTGTAAGGGACCAGGGCATAACATGAAAATCAAGGATTTAGTAGAAGGGATTTGGGTACAAAATAAGATTGAGAATATACAGAGAAGGATGAGGTTACATATGAAACCAAAGGCCCATTTGTACAGTGAAACAACAATGTGAGAAAAAGAAGTGACAAAGGACCAATTTTGTTTATGACTTAAACTGTTGTTGGCTGAAGGATTGCTGATTTGATATCCCCCCTCCTAGGGTATACTATATATCTGAAGCCAAGTTACAAGATTCAGTGCTAATGCGAATCCAAGGGGTTTGCCTGGTATTTGTCCTTTGCCTACTTTGTACAATCAGTGAGGAGGCTTTGTAATGACAAGTGCTGCATATCAATCAAAAATTAAAAGTAATTGCTTCTAAAATGTCTGCATGATTAGTTTTAGAGTCAAAGTTAATAGCTTGTATGGTAGTATTGTAAATATGGATCTAGTTTGTCCAAAAATATGCTTCATCAGGAAAATTCTGAAACGCTACTAGGTAAACAAATTGATAATTAGGTCATCTTCCACTGCTGTCCTGTTGCAACTGGAACTCAAATTCAAGCACTTTATTATGTAACATTTATATTTCACAAGCTAAGTTAAACAATCAAAGGTGATTTTCACATGGTCAACCAACAATTTTGAATGTGCAAGTAACAAAAGGACAAGATGAATAGTTGAACACATTTTCTATGCTTGGAGCAAAATTGCACTGTTTTTCCATTTGGAGAAAGAGTTATATAGAAGATGAATGACTGGAAAGTTATCTAAAACAATGGAATTCATTGGATTTTTAGAGTTCATATTTTTCATGATTTTTTTGAGGTTCATGAGACTCATTTGGGAAAAGTTAGGATCATGGACCATCACAAACACCTTCCTTTCTGTCAGATACAGTTCCAACATCAATGGTTTCTTCCAGCTCCTCTTGCTGACATATTCCATTTATTGCTACCTTAATGTGAAGGACAGCTACTCTGCTCTTTTTCTTTTGCATTTAGCTCCTGCACCCAAGCCACATAGCTATCATGGGACCCAAAGTGGGTGTTGGTGAGCAGGAATTCCGTGTGTGGAATGGCAGCCTCCCGGCAGTTGGAAGCTGTGACAGTGGATGCGGCTTCTCCTGGTGATCGGAGGTGGCAGCAGCGATAGCAACAGCATTGCCAGGGATTTCTGGTTGTGTTTGTGGCCGGCCCAGAGTGGGAACTCCTGGTTATTGATGAGGTGGCAGCGGCAGCAAGGATGTCCTCCTGGCAGTCAGGGCTGGTGGCGGCAGCAATGGTGGCAAAGCTCCTCCAGCGATCGGAGGTGGCAGCGGCAGCGGACTTTTCAAGATGGCATCACTGGCGTCAATGAGGTGGCAATGGTGTGGGGATTCCTGGCATCAACGAGGTGGCAGTGGTATCGGGATTCCTGGCATCAATGAGGTGGCAGTGGTATCGGGATTCCTGGCATCAATGAGGTGGCAGTGGTGTGAGGATTCCTGGCATCAATGAGGTGGCAGTGGTGTGGGAATTCCTGGTGTCAATGAGGTGGCAGTGGTGTGGGAATTCCTGGCGTCACCAAGGCAGCAGCGTTGCCAGGGACTTCTGGTTGTGTTTGAGGCAGGCCCAGAGTGGGAACTCCTGGTTATTGATGATGCAGCAGCGGCAGCTCCTGGTTGCGGTAGGCCCTGATCCAGGGACTCCTGGTTATTGGCGAGGTGGTGGCGGCAGTGGAGCCGGGTCTCCCGGTTGTGGGTTGAGTGTGGGTTGAGCACGGGACCCAGCATTGGCAACAGCGTCCGTGAGGTGGGCCCAGCTATGAAAAGATGGCACCTAAAGACTGGCAACTCTTACATTTGTGGGTCCCGTGCAGGGGGTGGCGTGGTGATGGAGGAGGGGTAGAGGCACAGGTGTTGCTGGTGAGATGGCTCAGGGCTCAGAACTTATGGTGGTGGAATGAAGATAGGATCATTTTCAGTTATATCTTTTTATTCTTTAACTATTCAAAATGATGCCAGATTGTGGTGACAGCTGAAGCTTTTCATTGTATTTCACTGTTTCATTCACAGTTAGATACAAATGACAATAATTCATTCAATTCACTACAGTTTAACTCAGATGATTAGCAAGTTAGTGCCATTTAATGCCACAATAAATATTCCTTTTATCATTTTACCAATGCATAGGATGAGGTTGATAGGGTGTTAATTGATCGGGATAGATTTGTCATGAACATTGCATATTTGTCTTACATTAGGAAATTTTTACATTATTAGATAAATGCTAAGGATATGGTTCCAGCAGAAGCTTGGTTATGAGAATCTTTGCCTTCAGCAATAAGCCTAACCTTGTCAGGAATGAAAGTCTCTTATATATCAGAAGATCCATATTCCATGGAGTGAATTGAATTGACTGGACACTGGTGTCTGTGATGGTCAGGAATTTTGCAGATGGCCAAATGAATCACCCACTTCATAATTAGTCTGAAGACAATTACAAATACTTTAGCCTTGTTGTTTGCATTCAATTGCTGGGGTCTAACATAGTTGTCAATGCAAATGTTTGTGGAGCTGGATGTTCGCTACATTTTTGATGGATATGGTAGGGCCCTGACATGATTCTCCATTTTCTCCATTGAAACAAGGTGGGACCTTGATTGGATGGTAAAGAAGTGGCAGATGGAATTAAACCTAGGAAGATGTGAGGTTACATACTTTGGTAGGAAGAATAGGGGATAGGCTGCGGAATCTGAAGCGCAAAGGGACTTGGGAGTCCAAGTTCAGGATTCTCTTAAGGTTAACATGCAGGTTCAGTTGGCAATTGGAAGGTAAATGAAATGTTAGCATTCATTTCAAGACAGCTAGAATATAAGGGCAGGGATGTACTGCTGGGGGCATATAAGGCTTTGGTTAGACTGCATTTGGAATATTGTGAGCAGTTTATGGCCCTATGTATAAGGGAAGATGTGCTTACCTTGGAGGTGGTTTACATGAATGATCTTGGGGATGAAAGGGTTCCTATATCAGGAGCTGTTGAGAACTCTGTGTCTGTACTCAATGGAGTTTAGAGGGATGAGGGGGAATCTCATTGAAACTTACAGAATTCTGAGAGAGCTGGATAGAGGGGATGTGGAGAAGATGTCTAGGAGAGCCGAGGACCCAAGAACATAGTCTCAAAGTGAAGGGACAACCCTTTAGGACTAAGATGAGGAGGAATTTCTTCAGCCAGAGGGTGGTTAATCTGTGGAACTCATTGCTGCAAGACCAAGTTGTTGAATGTATTTAAAACAGAGATATACAGTTTCCAAATTAGTAAAGAGGTTAAGGGTTATGGGGAAAAGGTAGCAGAATGAGTTTAAGAAATATATCAGCCATGATTGAATGGTGGAGCAGACTCAATGGGCAAGATGGCCTAATTATGCTCCTATATCTTATCATAGAATCTCTACAGCGTGGGAACAGGTCATTCAGCCCAATGAGTCCACACCAACTCTCTGAAGAGCATCCCACCCAGACCCACCTCTCTGCCCTATCCCATGGCTAACTGACCTAAGCCTGCACATTCTTGGACACTATGGGCAATCTGCCTAACCTGCACATCTTTGAACTGTAGGAGGAAACCAGAGCACCCTGAAGAAACCCACGCAGACCAGGCAGAATGTGCAAACTCCACACAGACACTCTCTGAGGCTGGAACTGAACCTGGGTCCCTAGTGCTGTGAGGCATCAGTGCTAACCACTGAGCTACCTTGCCGCCCTTATTTCTGAAGTTTTTGCATCCAATGTATAAATAGGTAATTTTCAGCTAAAGTGTCTTCCTTAAGGCTGCTGAGCATCTATTTGGGTACTTTAAATACAAATCCTCTAAGTTACCTTCACTTCAGGGCTGTAATGAATCTCAATCAAGGTAGCTGCACGTGTCTTCAGTAATACAAATACTCTGTATTGTGTGCTCGCAGTGGTTTTAACTAGTACGTCACAGGCCACGACAAGGTTAAAAATGAGCTGCGAAATTTTCGGAAGCAATTTTGGTTTATCTGCTGACACCAGACATCCCTATAAAAGGAACAGCTCCCAACATCTGACTGGTAATGATGCTGTCACACAGTTTGTGGGGGCTGTGAGTGTGTCACCGTTGTTCTTTGTCCTTTTACCGGGCTGAATGTGAATGTGGAACTGTTTGGCTCATTGAATATGCTGAAAGGTTTGGGAGCCAAGTGCATTATTGCACTAGTCACACTTTTGGTACTCAGCATGCCTATGTCTCGCCCTCTTGTTATGTGGTCCACCAGCCGCCATGTAACTTGCCAACCAAAACATTATTGATAACGTGTAGATAACATAATTCTGAGATATTGCATTTTTAAACTTCGTTGTCTCTACTATAACTTCAATCTGAATTACATGCAAATGATTCTTCTAAGTTTCGTAATCACATCTGCAGTGCAGGTTTCTGCTTTATATGAGTAGTTTCCTTCATAAAAAAACATTTCTGTCTAGCCACCACTTACATCATTGCAGACTGCCATATGAAAACATTTTAGTTTTGTTTGATTTATCTGTTCGATGTCAGTTGCAACATATTCACCACTGAAAGCTAACTAAGTGACAGAAAGCTAACTGTGTGCTGTCTATTTTGTTTTCAGGTTAGCCGGGTATTTATTTCGAACTTTTGGCATGCTCTTCTTATTTGTGAAGTTACACATGAGGTGTAAAGAAAAGATTATAAAACGCAGATGATTATTTAAACTGATGCAATGGTGGCGTTTAAGGTTGAAAATAATAAGCTGTTAAGTATAGAAAAGTTGGATTTGAATGTAACATTCGTGAGGAATTAGCATGCATGGGGCGCATAAAATTTTGTTAATGCCGGTTCTCTGAATGTGACACTATTTGAAAATTTGAGCACTGCTATAAAGCTACCCCAGTGAGATCTTGTGGGTGTAATGTTTAGAACACCAGAAGATATAGGAATGACTAATAACAAAAATAAATTTGAAAACTAAAAAAAAACCTAACAATCAAAACAAAAATTGAAGGTCACTTTGAAGGAAGGCTTATGTCTCTTGTTGGGACTATTTAGTCTCCATTTCTGCTGATCTGTAACTGGACATAAAGATACTCTCTTATTTTTTATTCTTTCAAGGGTCATGAGTATCACTGGCTAGGCCAACATTGGTTGCTCAATTGTCCTTGAGAAGATGACGATTAGCTGCTTTTCTGAACTGCTGCACAATCAAAATGAACTGGAGACGCAATTCTGTTGGAAAGTGAGTTTCAGGAGTTTGACACAGTGATAATGAAGAAACAGCGATACGGTTCCAAGTCAGGATGGTGTATAGATTGGAGAAGAACTTGTGGGTGTTGCTTGCTCCCATACGTCTGCTACCCTTGATATTCTGAGCAGTGACAGTCATGGGGCTGGTGGAAGATGCTGTCAAAAGCATCTGAATTGTTGTGTTGCATGAGGTACACAACGTTGCCACTACACATTGGTGGTAGAACTAGTAATTGCTTAAATTGGTGGATGAGATGCCATTCAAGGGGACTGTTTTGTCTCAGAAAATGTTGAGCATCTTGTGTGGTCATTACAGCTGTACATTCAGGCTGTTTCAGTGTATTCCATCACACTATGACTTGTGCCTTTTGGACAATGAATACATTTTGGGAAGTCAACAGGTGAGTTACTCATTGCAGAATTCCCAGTCTCAGACTCCAGTAATCATAGCATTTACATGCTTGGTTCAATTCAGTTTCTGGTCAGTGGTGACACCTAGATGTTAATGGTCCATGTTACAGTTGTTGCAATAATGAGTGGAATTTTGTTGGGCTAACAAAAAGAAGGGAATCCCACCAGTTTCATGAGGAAAGCTTGATGGGAGCACGTATCTCTCAGGTACTCTCCTAAGGTCTCTTAAGATTGATGACCCTGTTGAAGGGAATCCTGCTGTCAACAGTTGCCAGCAAATTGGATGCTGGAGCTCCTGATTGCTGCCGGCCCCAGTGGAAATAAAGGTTGCACGTGGCACTGGACCCGCCCAAGGTATGAGATCACTGACTAATGTCAGGCCAAATGTGAGTTAATGTTGTGGGAGGTCCAAATAAAATTTCCTGCTGTGTGTGTGGGAAACCTGTGCAGCTCTCATTTAATTCCCAACCACCACTAAATTACAGTGGCCTCATTAATCATTCAGTCCAATTTATGTTATGACATTAGCAGCCAGGAATCCCATTGCTGCCTTTTAAAGTAATTGGAGTAGGATTTCCGGCTGATGGTCCGTTAGTGCAGGGCTTTTCCCATGTTTAAGTCAGACCAATCTCTTTGTTTCCCACTGTGATAAGTTGCATTACACCCAGCCCAATGGATCAATGGAGGCCTCCAACAAGTTCTTCCAAATATCTGCATAATTTAGTTTCCCAGCTCTTTTGAAGTTGTTCACCAACTAATGCTGGTATTGTAGGTTAGCAAACATGTCCCTCTGTGGAAGTCCCCATTTTCTGTGATGAATCAACTTCACTCTGTAATCTGTTGTCTTTCACTATAAGGTCAATTGGAATGTCTGCTTCATGTCAGTGAATCACCATTACAGTGACTAGACATGGAGAGGATGTTTCCTTTTATGGGAGAATCTAAAACTTTGGGTTACTGCCCTTTTAAAACTGAGATGAAGTGAAATGTTTTCTCACAGAGGGTTCTGAGTCTTTGGAATTCTTCTCCTGAATTGGCAGTGGAAGCAGAGTCTTTGAATATTTTTAGGGCAGAGGTGGTAAGCAAGTGATTAAAAAGTTGGCAGAAATGTGAATTGAGGTTGTAATCAGATCAGCGACAATCTTATTGATTGGCAGAACAGGTTGCAGGAGCCGAGTGACCTACTTTTGCTCCTTGCTTGCACTGTTGCTAATTGCAGAATGTGCCAAAATTGCATTTTCTCCAATTTCAATATCAAAAGGGATAAACCAGTAGAAACAAAAATAATTGAAAATAAATGCTTGTGGGGAGCTCCATTTTGAAGTCAGGTGACACAGTGTAGTGCTCCTACCTTTGGTCCAGAAGGTTCAAGTTCCTCCTGTCTCAGAGATGTCTGAAAAGTTGATTTAAAACACGTACAAGTTGGATATGAAAGTGTCATTTACAATTTTATTGGTTTTTCTTTCTGGGTAATTAATGGTTTCGAAAAGGGGACTTGTCCCAAATGTCAAAGCCACATCTGGTTCTCAACCCACTCTCTTAAATGGCACAATAAAAGCAGAAATAGATGAAAAATGTTATAACTGAGCTGGGAAAAGAAGTTCTTGGAACCTAAATGCATTGCCTTTAGTATACATTTATGAGAAGAATTTTGTTTTTATTCACTCATGGGATGGGGGCATTGCTGGCTAGGCCAACATTTATTGCCCATCCCTAATTACCCAAAGGGCAGACAAGAGTCAACCACATTTCTGTGGGTCTGGAGACATATATAGGCCAGACCAAATAAGGATGGCAGATTTCCTTCCCTAAAGTACACTAGTGAATCCAGGTGGGTTTTTCCTGATAATCGACAATGGTTTCATGGTCAACTTTAGACCCTTAATTCCAGGTTCGTTATTGAATTCAAATTCCACCATCTGCCTTGGTGTGATTATGAACCTGGGTGCCCAGAACATTAGCTGAGTTTCTGGAGTAAGAGTCTAGCAACAATACCACTAGGTCATTGCCTCCCCCATATTGGTTAATTATCACAAAATATTAATGGGTATTGACCACATAATTTTACATTAAACTATGATAGAACAACAAGAATATTTAATTATAATCCAAATAAACATCAGGTTAAATGTAAAAATAGTTTTTGAAGCTTTGAACCACTTACCAATAGAGTTGACTGCCACCTAGTGCATGTAGTGAAGCCTTCAAGGTTAAACTAAATACATTTTGATTTAGAAAGAAATGAAGGCTTATAGACATGTGGTGGGGAACAGATAAAAATCATTAATTTGGATCTTTGAAACAATATAACAAGCTGAGGGACTGAAATCACGTATTTACATTAGCACCTGTCAAGATTTCACAACATCCCTAAGCTCTTCAACATCAATTAAATATTTTCGTAATGTAGTCTCTATTACAATGTACAAAATGTGACTGACAATATAGTGCCACTTTACAATTCACATTATTGAATTCCGTGCCAGGTTTTTCAATTGCTTCTTTCTTCTGCTTCGAAACCTTCAAGAAAATTGTTTGAGGTGGGACAGCTGTGCAGTGTTCAAAATGGTAGTTATCTTGATCAATTTATCATTGCTGGGAAAGGGGAGGAAGAATATCAGCAGCTGTGAGAATCTGTGCACGGCAAGTTCCCAGAAATGGCAATATAATAAACTACCAAGTAATAAAAGCAAAACACTGTGGATGCTGGAGGGTTATGAAACAATAAAAACAGAATATGATGGAGAAACTCAGCAGGTTTGCCAGCATCTGTGAACATGGAAACAAAGTTAATACTTCAAGTCCAATGACTTTTCTGAAGAAGACTCAAACCAGAATCAAAACATTAACTCAGTTTCTTTCTCCAGATGCTGCCAGAGTTTCACCTGAATTTTCTGTTTTTAATTCAAATTACTGGTTAAGTTGTTTTTATTGCTTTGGTTGATGGGTAAATGTTGGGGCATCAACAGAATTCATATGTTCTTATCTATTCTTTTATATTGGCTTGAAACAACAGTTGGAGATTTGATTTTAACTCGTTATCCTAATGTCAGCATTTGACGATGTGCTTGGGTTTCCAGAGCCAGAATGTACAAATCACAGGGACGAGTATTATCATTAAGTCACATTAAGAACTGGTGCTGGCATTACACAGTGCAAAAAAAGACATCAATGCAACCAAAGTTAGTGAGCGTCGACGGAAGCGTCTACAGGAGTTGGAGGCTGAATTGGCAAATCTCAAAAGGAAGTTGATGGAACAATCAAAAATGTTGAAATTCAAGGAGAAGACTGAGGGAACAGTTGATAAGTTAAATCAAGAGATTCAGGCACTGAAGTATCAGCGAGTTCAGCTGATGCGACAAATGAAAGAGGAAGCTGAGAAATCTCGTAAATGGAAAGCAGAAAAAGATAAAGAGGTCCTGCAACTTAAGGAGAAAGACCGAAAAAGGCAGTATGAGTTACTGAAATTAGAACGAAATTATAAACAGCAAGCGAATGTATTGAGGCGCAAGACTGAAGAGGCAGCTGCCGCTAACAAGTGTTTGCGTGATGCTCTTCAAAGGCAGAAGGATGCTGCTGAGAAGCGCAAGGAATCAAACAGAGGAATGGAAGGGACTGCTGCTCGAGTGCAGAGTTGGCTAGTCAATGAGCTAGAAGTACTTGTGAGTATAGAGGAGACTCGTCGTCACTTGAACTCTCTACTGGATGACCGGAAGATACTGGCACATGAGTTGTCTGTGCTAGTAGGGAAGAAAGAAGCCCATCATCCTCCATCCAAACTTCGTCGTCGAACTTTTACATTGACTGAGTTAATGAAAACCACTGAACAGGATCCATCTATAAACAAGCAAATTGAAAGTGTCGAGACTGAAATAGAACTCAGGAGTGCTCAAATTGCTGACCTTCAACAGGAATTGATGGATGCAGACAATGAAGAAAGGTTGAAGCATCATTGGGAAACCATTGCTACTATTGTGGAGGCTAAATGTGGACTAAAATGGCTAATGGGAGAGCTGGTGTCAAGTAAAGTATCACATAGTAAACTGCAAAGTGAATTCAATCAGGCAAAAGCTGACAATGCAGAGTTGCACAAGACGCTAATTGAAGAACAAACACGAATTGCTGAAATGGAGACTGACCATCAGCAGCAGCTGCTAGATCAAGAACAGCAGCACCAAGATAAGGTGCTTTATCTGCTCAGCCAGTTGCAACAAAGCTCTAACCTACAAAAGGAGTCGGCTCCTGATCAAGAGTCTCAGCTTGTGGAAAGGCTGAAGTTCCAAGATGAGGAAATCAAAAAGATGAAAGAGCTAAGTGAAAGGAATCAGCAGCTGATAGAAGAGAATGAAACTTATAAGCAGAAACTGAACCTGCTCCAATATACGACCAGTAAGTTGGGTGACAGCAACTTAATGAGCCTACCAACTGAGCCCTTATCTTCTCCCTTTGACTATGTCCCTCCCAAGCCGAAAAACAGGAGGAAGACTACTGCAAAGCCACACATGATGACACCACGTGTGAGTCTGGAAGAGCTATTATCTGACTCTGATTCTAATGGTGATGCTGAAGATGATGATTGGGTCCCCAGTAAAATAAAATGAAAGAAAACATTGAGCAGTATAGTTTACTTTTAGCTGTGACAATAACACGTTAATTACTCAATTTATGGTGTGAAATACGCACAATGAGGGTTAATTTCAAGAGCCAAACTCCTAGCCTAAGGACTAATGTGTGAAAATCCTCTGAACAAAAGTTGGTTCAGACTGTTTTGCCAGGCATCCCTGTCATTTAAAATGGGCATTAGGCCCCTTATGTATGTATGGTAGGCCATATGAGCTTGTTGTCTTCAGGTACCCACTTCTGTCCAATGTAAGGCAATGTCTGACATAGGTTCAGCACTTCATCTCACTTGGAGACTAAGAGCTACGGAAAGCATATTCATAGCTGCTTCCTGAAACAAGATTGTACTGAGTCTTTAAGTCTCTGAGAGTTCAAGGAGAGCAACTTGTAGCTATATTGATTAGAAGCACATTAAATTAGTGCAAATTGGAGACGTGGTGTTGAGTTTTTTGAAGAGGTAACCAAGAGGATAGATGAGGGTAGGGCAGTAGATGTTGTCTGTATGGACTTTAGTAAGGCCTTTGACAAGGTCCTGCATAGCAGGCTAGTCATGAAGGTCAGGTTGCGTGTGATCCAGGGAGAGCTAGCTAATTGGATTCAAAATTGGCTTGATGGTAGGAAGTAGAAGGTGACGGTTGAAGGTTGTTTCTTGGATTGGAGGCCTGTGACTAGTGGTGTGCCACAAGGGTAGGTGCTGGGATCTTTGTTATTTGTTATTTACATAAATGATCAGGATGTGAACGTACGAGGCATGATTAGTAAATTTGTGGATGATATAAAATTAGGAGATATCTTTGATGGCGAGGAAGATTATCAAAAATTACAGAGGGATCTTGATCAGATGGGGAAATGGGCTGAGGATTGGCAAATGCAATTCAATACAGATAAGTGTGAAGGTGTTGCACTTTGGAAAGTCAGACCAAGGTAGGACTTATACAGTAAATGGTAAAGTCCTGAGGAGTGTTATGGAACAGAGGGACATGGGAGTACAAGTACATAGTTTGTTGAAAGTGGCATCACAGGTAGACAGGGTGGTGAAGAAGGCATTTAGCATGATAGCCTTCATCGGGCAAGGCATTGAGTATAGGAGTTGTGACGTTCTGTAACAGTTGTGTATGTACACACTGGTGAGGCTGCACTTGGTGTATTATGTACAGTTTTGGTCACCCTATTACAGGAAAGACCTAGTTAAACTGGAAAGTGTGCAAAGAAGATTTATGAGGATGTTGCCAGGACTAGTAGGCCTGAGTTATAAGGAGAAGTTCCTCAGGTTAGGACTTTATTCCTTGGAACGTAGGAGAATGAGGGGTGACCTTATTGAGGTGTATAAAATCATGAGGGGCATAGATAGGATGAATGTGTATAGTCTTTTTCCCAGGTATGGGGAATTAAAAACTAGAGGGCATAGGTTTAAGGTAAGTGGGGATAGATTTAAGAAGGACGTGAAGGGCAACTTCTTCACTACGAGGGTGGTGCATATATGGAATGGGCTGACAGAGAAAGTAGTTGAGGCAGGTACAATAGCAATATTTAAAATACATTTAGATAGGTACATGGATGAGAAGGGTTTAGAGGGATATGGGCCAAATGTGGGCAATTGAAACTAGCTGAGTGGACACTATGGTCAACATGGACCAGTTTGGGCCAAAGGGCCTGTTTCCATGCTTATTACTCTATGACTCTGAGAAAGCAAGAACTGCAGATGCTGGAATCAGAGATAACACAGTGTGGAGCTGGAAGAACATGACGGGTCAGGCAGCATCAGAGGAATAGGAAAGTCGATGTTTTGGGTTTACACCCTTCACCAGTCCTGATGAAGAGTGTAAATTTAAAACGTTGACTTTCCTGCTCCTCTGATGCTGCCTTACCTGCTGTGTTCCTCGAGCTCCACACTGTATTGACTCTATGACTCTATCTAACTAGTGCTTTGTATAATTTTAGCAAAACGTTCCTGCTTTTATACTTCATACTTTAATACTTTGAAGTATAGGCCAATATTCCATATGCCTTCCATATTACCTGCTGAAAATGGATCCTAGCTTTTTGGCATTCATGGCTGAGGATTCTCAGATCCCTCTTTACTGTAGCTTTCTGCAGTCTGTCTCCATTTAAACAATAGTCAGTTCCTCTATTTTTCCTGCTAATGTACATAATCTCATACTTTCTCACATTATATTCCATCTACTAAGTCTTGCCCACTCACTTAATCTGTCTATGTACCTCTATTGACTCTTTGAGTCATCTTCACCACTTGCCAATCCACCTATTTTTATGTCAACAGCAAACTTGATGATAATGTAATCACCTCTGTCATCTAAGTCAATAATATATTGTATAAATAATTGTGGCTCCTGTGGCACTCCACTAGCTGAAAATGCCCCCCTTATCTCAACTCTATCTTCCATTAGTTAGCCATGGGCTCTTACCTTATCAAGTAACCTAATGTGTGGTATTGTATCAGGCACTTTCTGAAGATCCAGATATATTACATCCACTGCTTCCCCTTTATCTATCCTGCTTGCTACCTCCTCAAAGAATTCTAGTAAATTTGTCAGGCATGATCTCTCCTTCATGCAGCCTTACTTTCATTTCATGTTTTCTATTTCAGCATATTATGTCTTTCTAAATGTTCTGCTATTATATATTTTGTAATAGACTGCAATATTTTCCCAATAACATACTTTAAGCTAACTGGCTGATAGTTACCTGGCTATTTTTGTCTTCTTCCCTTTTTAAATGATGGTGCTACAGTGGCAGTTTTCCAGTCCTCTAATTTGATTTGATTTTATTGTCATATGTACTCAAGTACAAAAGTACAGGAGTACAGTGAATAGTGTATAATATCACCATGTAAGGTGCCAACTTAGGTGCAAGTACTTAGGTAGGGAATCTTAAGAACAAGGTAGAAATAAAGAACAAAATTAAAAGTTAAGCATTTCAGTAATTATAGTACAGTGACATGTTCTTAGTTTTAAATATAAAATAAAGAAATAAAGCTAGAAGTTCAAACATTACAGTATTTCTTAAATGCTTAGCCATGGTAGGTCCATACTTCGAGGAATCACCTCGAGACTGGAAGTCCATGCTGAGGTTCCATCAGGGCCAGTGAAGTTATTAGTCTTTAGCCCAATGAGCTTTCCTAGCACCTTTTCTGTAGTGATAATTATTGTGTTTATTTTCTCTCCTCTATTTGCCTCTTGGTTATTTAATCACTTTGGAATATTGTTAGTGTCTTCTACAGTGAAAACTGATGCAAAGGTTTTTTTCAACTTCTCTGCCATTTCCTCATTCCTCATTACTATTCACCTTCCTCATTCTTTAAGAGACTTATGTAGTGATTGTAATGAGGTCAGCCAGGTGGATCTCATAGAATATGAGTTTGCTGATTGTTAGCCTGACCCAATCCGGAAGCTCTGGTTGGCAGATATAAACAGGAGTGTCAGAGGTTCTGCTCACTCTGAGAGCTGGATCACAGTCAAGAATTCTTCACGTATAAATGAAGGGTGACTTGGTGATTGGATACTGGCCTCTGTGGAGGTATTTCAACATACATTCAACTTGGCTTCTATCTTCTTTTTTTTATACTTTGAAAGAAACCCTTATTCATCTTGAAATTACTCGCATATTTACCCTCAAAGTTTATCTTTTCACTCTTTTTCTTAGGCCATTTTTTTGTAATGGCTTTTGAAACCTTCGCAATCCTGTGGCTTACCGCTAATCTTTGCCACATTGTGTTTTATTCTTTCAATTTGATTCTGCCCAAATTTTCCTGTTTAACTATGGTCAATTCCTGCCCTTTTTAGAATCCTTTTCCTCTCTGGGATATATTTTTGCAATGAACCAAGAATTAAAGCTGAGGATCGATTGGTCTGTCTGGCCCCATGCAATGGCCTGTAACATTAAAACTGGACACTTCATAAATGTTTTTGCTATTTTGTTCATGATTTCTACTAGCACTAGACATCCCAATGCACAAATTCCTGACATGCTATTACTGGAATACAGGTTTCATTTTTATTTCAATATATTTGAGGCCAGCCATTATAGTCATAATTTATAATGGGATTTCCATCCTTATTAACCTCAAGCTATTAGTCATTAATGAACAGTATCGGCCAGGTGCACAGCAACATTTATTGGAGGCTTGGGGACCGCTTTATGAAACACCTACGCTCGGTTCGCACTAAACAACTGCACCTCCCAGTCGCGAACCATTTCAACTCCCCCTCCCATTCCTCAGACGACATGTCCATTCTGGGCCTCCTGCAGTGCCACAATGATGCTACCTGAAGGTTGCAGGAAGAGCATCTCATATTTCGCTTGGGAACCCTGCAGCCCAATGGTATCAATGTGGATTTCACAAGCTTCAAAATCTCCCCTCCCCCAACCGCATCCCAAAACCAGCCCAGCTTGTCCCCACCTCCCTAACCTGTCCTTCCTCCCACCTATCCCCTCCTCCCACCTCCAGCCCCACTCCCATCTCCTACCTATTAGCGTCATCCCATCCCCTTGACCTGTCCGTCCTTCCTGGACTGACCTATCCCCTCTCTAACTCCCCACCTACACTCACCTTTACTGGCTCCATCCCCGCCTCTTTGACCTGTCTGTCTCCTCTCCACCTATCTTCTCCTTTATCCATCTTCTATCTGCCTCCCCGTCTCTCCCTATTTATTTCAGAATCCCCTTCCCCTCCCCCATTTCTGAAGAAGGGTCTAGGCCCGAAACGTCAGCCTTCCTGCTCCTCTGATGCTGCTTGGCCTGCGGTGTTCATCCAGCTCTACAACATTTATCCAGGGTTGGGATGTTTGATGACTGCCAAATTTCATTCAAAAATGAGGACTAACAGAATAATGTCCAATCGTTGCACAAAATCTTTACTAATTACTACCTGATCATACTGACGGCTCATTGGTTTAGCAATCATCCAAAATACAATACCTCTCATGATTGAACCTGCCCCAGTAACATACTATCAGCCTGG